CTCTGACCATGGGTGGTACTATGGACAGCCTTGGTCGTCGATGGCTTGGTAGGGGTAACAAAGTTATTTGGCCGAACTGGTGTTGTTGCCACAGAGACTTGATTCATCTCGACCTCGCTCTGGACAGTTTGGTATGGCAGCGGTGCTGCTAGAGCAGGCTGGGCAAAATCCTGGGGGTACAGGACTTCAGTCTGGCCCCCACCCCCTTCCGGACGCATTTGAGCGGCCGGCGAAGTCATCATCGCCTGGTTCAACACTGGAAAGGATGATCCGGTGACATAAAATGGGTTGTCCCTACACGCAGGCCATGTGGGAGTGATGGAAATGGAAGGGCAAAACGCAGGTGGATATCAGTGCAAACGAAGATGAAGAGATGTATGATGTATGGTGTAGATTTGCACGGAGAGGTGTACATAGTTTCGCTATAAGAGGAACTTGGGTTGTTCTGTGCATGCTGTCTGCTAATCGCGGCGTGTTTGGGACTTTCCGTCTCAAGTCGTCCGTTACGGGCACCTAGACAAGTGGCGGGCCTTCAGAGACAGAGATCCATGCTCATCTCTCCATACGGACTGTATTGTCTAGCCTTTTCTGCTTCTCTTTGTCCTCTCTTCTTTTCCATTTTCCTTTTCTTCTTCTCCATGTCATCATGGCCAAAAAGAAAGAAGAGAAAGAAAAAACCAAGAAGGACAGAAAGAAACGTTTGCTTTGAGTAGACCATGGCCGAGCTCGTGATGGAACACAAAGACTTGACAGCCCTTGAGCGAAAAGTCGTTATTGTCATAGGTATGTAGCAGTGCTTCCCTTCCCGGCCATACTGTTTCCCTGTATATCTCATTCATGTTAACCCTGGATACTCCCCTATTGTCCATATCGCTGCTAAGACTTCTCTGACCAGCTGGCTTGTCCGACAATGGTCTGGCCATCATCCGACCACTCGTAACTCGCGGGGCTTCCGTAGTCAACGGCGATGCGCTGGGTGTCCAAGGAGAAGATGAGGGCGAATACAGGTACGTCACAACAGACGTAGCTAGATGGTTAGGTCTCCTTGGTCTGTATCAGGAAGCAAAGCCTACATATGACCCCTTCGACCATGTCTTCGCTAATGCTGGCCTCGGCGTTCGTGCCAGCTATCTGTCCACGCAGCTCAACGAGAAATGTGGTCCAGCTGAGCTTTCGAGCCAGGTTGTGGACGTCAACCTTGAAGACGTTATCAACACGTCCACCATCGTGTCCCATCGCTTGCGAAAGGAGGCTGGAGGAGGTGGTGTTGTTTTCCCGGGGCTTAGCACGGGTCTGCAGCGTTGCCGAGTCGTCGACTACGGTGAGTAAAGGCAGAACGAGAATCTTATCCTCGCCGCATTTTGGCCCGACTGACACAGGTTGAAGCTGCGGCCGAACATGTTATCCATATCCAGCGCGACAGACTGGCTGAGATTGACGAGACTGTATTGCTTGTAGGCTACGGAAAAGAAGTTAACGGCAAACTCGAACCGGCCGAGGATGAAGTTCTGAAACGGCTTGCAGCGGCCGCAGCATAGCAGTGTGCAGTCGATGGTACCTGTCAAGTTGGAGAATGAGCGAGTGATATCGTTCTGCAGCGAACGACTTCTTGCTACAGCATGACTAGGAATAGGACCATGGAGTAGAGCAGTAGGGTACAAATACAGATCTCGAGCATAATAGAGAAACTCGTGAAAAGAACAAAACGATAACTACGAGATCATGTTTGCATCCCATATCTATTCTCTTCATATCTTCCTAGTGAGAATCCGGTCGTCTGCGTGCCTCTAACCAACATCCTTCATTTCGTAGTCACCGTCATCATCGGAAGGCGGGTGGACCACGATGGTAGGAATGTTCGTATCCATATCTACATCCCTCCATTCGTCCTCATTATCGATATCCATTGATACAGCCACAGCTTCTTGGATGTCTCTCATCTGGCTCTCCACTTCAGAGCGACGGCTGTGACAAGGCTGTCGCTCGTCAACTTGTCCTGGCGAAGCGGAGAGTCTGGCTCGGCCTCGGAATAATGACTTTATGAGTGGCGGTTCTCTTAGATCCCACCTGTTGGTCAAGCTTCTTGCACGCATCCGGAACTGAGAGGATGGGGTGGAGTGGCACCCGAGGGATGTCGAAAGAGGGGAGGAGGCGGGGCGGTGCGCGTTGCGGTTTTTTTATCGCGCGCAACTAGAAGGACTGTCCCCTGAATCTGTTCTTTGTATCATCGGCCACAACAGACCGCGCAGCGAACGCTGAGACGACCTGCACATCCATGACCGAATAGGGGTCTTTGCGTACATGGGTTTCGGACGAGATGAGAAGAAGAACTGTTAGGTACGTTTGCTAAAGCCTGTCTGTGGTCGAAGAATATCTCTCCTTCCTGCTTTCATCTGACTGGGCCCCTCTTCGTTCCGAACTGCTGAGCATCGTCTGGTCTGGGTGAACGACAGCCACGTAGCTTGGCTGATAACGGACAGAGACATCTATGTTTGTGCCGTACCGAGCACTGTTTCACAACTCCTTCGTGCTTCTCAAGAGATTCGGGGAAATGCAGTCTACGGCACCCAGGCTCGCCTTGTCCCAATTCTTGGCTCCTCATCGGGTTGTGACAGAGAAGACAGGTTACTTGATGGCGACAAGAAATGTCAACCCCCAACTCTCGTTATGGCCGTTCCTTAGGCTCCGACAATTCGACTCTGGTGGTTTGTGATCTCGTCAAATCTTATAGCGGAAAACCGTCCTGATAAGGTCGTTGCGGCTTGGGTCGTGAATAAAAGTTACTCTTCATTCCAGCCACCTCCGTCGCGACTCTCATGTAACCATCTACTTCGGTCACGGGCCTTTTCGCCTAGAGAATCACCGTCAGGATGACAGCAACTGACTTTGGCACCGAATGTACACAATGTACCGAATACACCGAGAGGGGGAGGCAGGCGCTCGTTCGACGCCCACAGCGGACGCCAAAGGATGTATGTGTATATACAGATAAACCAATAAAAGAACCTGAATCGAGTTTTCGACGATTCAATCATCTCCCAACCGAGATCCGATTGATGATCTGGAGGTCATCATTCGATAACGTAGATGTCGCCGTAGCTGTCTGCTCATTTCCCGCCAATAGGAGGAGGATCACAGCCGGTCGCTCCCACTCCGCCGAGAGTCGATCGCCGCCGGTCGCGCAGACTTGCGTGGAAGCAAGAACAGAATGGTTTCGCGCCACACGCGTCTGCATAGGTCCAAACAAGTCTCGAGAGCAGTTCCTCATGCGTCGCACGGTGTTTTTCGTCGCTCCCTCGCCGATCCTGAGCACTCGTTTACTGGGGATCAGACTGTCGATAGAGCACATCGCCATCGACATCGCCGAAAGCCCTGACGTTTTCAAGATCTTTGAGGCTCTCGCCCGCTTTCCACGTCTTCGAACCATCATCATCGTCATACCACCGGATACCGTGGAAGAAGACCAGCTCACGCTATGGCAGCAGAGGGTCCGGGAGGATGGCGAAGTGCTGAGACGGATAAGCGCGTTGGTGGACGTGCCCTCGAGCGACGGCGAGTGGCACCAACAGACCTACATGGGCTGGTTTCTTTGCAATTACCTGGATGGTCCCCAAGCGCGGCGTTACTACAGCAGGAAGGATGGCCCAAAGATAAAGCTCTTCATCGATCATACGACTTCATCCGAGACGGAGGTGGGAGCAAGTACGGAAAGCCCATGGGCGCTCTATTTTTATTAACTCTACTGTTTGGTTCTACTACATTCCTATTCGTATTTGTCTAGCTGGGCTTCTGAAGGGTGCGGGGGGCTATTGGCAGATAGGCGACCGACTCTTGACTTTTTGAGAAGACAACAGGTACAACGGCGCACAATAAGTCTGCCTCACGAGAATAAATGGCATCGCTTCAGATCTAGGGTACCCTTCAACGCGAGACCAAGCAGATGCTTGGCGCTTCGTTAGTCTTGGTTGGATGTTGTGTGAAATGAGCTTGAGAAATCATCTGCACGTAGATGGCCCTTTCAGCCAAGACCTTTACGCTTTCCCTACTTGGTTGATTTATCCAGCCAGGACGGTCAGACGCAGGCTCTAGATCCGTCAGGGACATCTTCTTGGAAGAACCTGCAACGCCGTAAGATTAATCCTTGCAAATCAGCACTAACACGCACGAGCACTCAGCCATCTTTAACATTTGGACCAATCAGATTTCCCGCTCTCTTGACGCGCTCAATCCTGGTCCGATCTGCAAGCGGCAGAGGTATCAAAAATACACCGACCTAGATACAAGGTTCGCCCAAACTCCATGTATTGCTGATACAGAGACTTCTATTGGATCAGAACTCAGGTAAGAGCATGCTTGACCGTTCTTCCAACAAGGGTAAAGCTAGATGTAACGTGATGGCAATCTCTTTTTCTTTCTCCTCCTCCCTCTCTCTCTCTCCCACTTTCTGTATTGTCTGTCTGTCTTTCCACCCTCTCCTTTCCTTGTATCGCCTTCTCCGTCATCGTTTGACTGACCATGGAGTACCATTCGGCTTCAAAAGTTGATCAAAGCGCTGCACCTCAACAGACCGACATCATCAATGGCACTGCTACTTGATGGTGACTATTCTCCGTCGACCAGCCGGCACGCCCGCGTATGCCTGACCCCGTCCCTTGGTGCGCACCCATCTCGTAGAACGTTTCGGCGAGGATAGCAAACAGCTGCTGTTCCCAGGGGACTTGTCTAGGAGACTGCTCCTGACCTGCGCTCCCGGTCGCTGAAGCGCTTGACGATCCAAGCACGGCGTGGTTGCCGGTCGAGCGTGACGCAGGAGACAGCTCGTCGCCACCAGGTCGCGTATCTCTGTTGGCTGTCGACGGCGCCGCAGGCGAGTAATGGCCAGCAGTCGTGAGCGTGGCACCAGGCACTGACGACTCAAGGACGGCGCCAACCTTGGGTACCGAGAACCCAACGTGACCATCCTGCTTCCCCTGAACCTCCGCCGACTTATCCGGGGTGGGTGCTTCGAGGCATGTGGGAGGAAATTCGGCCACGTCGGATGATGGCTGGCAGCGATGAGCTTGATCGACATCACCAACATCTCGATCGGGGCCCAGGTCAAAGCTATCGATGTCGAACACGTCGATGTCGAAGCGATGCATGTCAAAGTCATTCATGTCAAAACCATCCACGTTGACGGTGTTCATGTCAAAGTTATCGATATCAAGATGGTCCATGCTAAGGTCCATCGTGTCAGCAACGTCTAGGCCGTTTGCATTCTCCCAGCTGTTATCCATCAGCATCGTGAAGTCGCCGACAGACGGCACCTCGTTGCTGGCCTGCGGGATGGGGAATGAATCATCCATGAGTGCAAACGGTGCGGGTGGCCTGGAGTAGGACTCGCCCTCGGCATCCTCGTCCACGACGGGTGGTGAGGGTGCTGCGGCGTACGAAAGGGCGCGGGGCTGGCCACTGTCAGCGTTCCGGCTCGTCGGAGAGCCGCCACCGCGTTCCCTTGGATCGGAGACGCCATCGCGATGGCGGTGACGGCGTTGGCCACGATCACGACCACGGCCACGGTCACGGTCACGACCACGGTCATGGGGACGGCGATGGCGATGGCGACCGTTACTGCCACCGTAGTAGTCGTTGTTCTCTTCATCGACATCAACAGCATCTCTGTCATCGTTGTCGCT